CCGCCCCTCTCCCCCCGCCCCTAACCCCGGGCCCTGTTTCCTTTGCAGGGGGAGCTGCTGAGCCCATGCCGCTGCGACGGGTCCGTCCGCTGCACGCACCAGCCCTGCCTGATTCGCTGGATCAGCGAGAGGGCCGCCCCTCTCCCCCCGCCCCTAACCCCGGGCCCTGTTTCCTTTGCAGGGGGAGCTGCTGAGCCCATGCCGCTGCGACGGGTCCGTCCGCTGCACGCACCAGCCCTGCCTGATTCGCTGGATCAGCGAGAGGGGGTCGTGGAGCTGTGAGCTGTGCTACTTCAAGTACCAGGTGCTGGCCATCAGCACGAAGAACCCCCTGCAGGTGAGCGGGGGCAGCCCCGGCGGGGCGGCCCCCCGGCCCACGCCCGCCAAATCACAGACAGCACACGCTCCGACATGTGCATGCAGATAACACATGCTCCTACAGCCCGTTCTTCGACACGCATGTACGTAGATCAACACACACCGACGCAGCCGCGCAGAACTGCATGTGTGCGCGGTGCAGACGAAGCAGCACAGACTGCACATGGTCTGACACGCGTGCGCACAGATCAACATGCGCTGACAGACAGCACACGCTCCAGCATGCAGGTATGGGGATCAACACGCACTGACACAGACAGCACATGCTCTGACACGCATGTACATGAATCAACACACGCTGACACCGACAGCACATGCTCCGACATGCATGTAGAGGAATCAACACGCATTGGCAGCAGCTTCCCTTCCCTTGGGGTTTCTCTCTCCTCATTGACTTCCAGACAGACAGCACACGCTCCAGCATGCAGGTATGGGGATCAACACGCACTGACACAGACAGCACATGCTCTGACACGCATGTACATGAATCAACACACGCTGACACCGACAGCACATGCTCCGACATGCATGTAGAGGAATCAACACGCATTGGCAGCAGCTTCCCTTCCCTTGGGGTTTCTCTCTCCTCATTGACTTCCAGATCCCAGATCCCTTGATCCTGGCATCCCAGCCCTTAGGGTCTCCCTGCCCCACAGTCCCCCGCTCCC